TGAGTGTGACAGAGGCGGAGCGTCTACGCGACCCTTGGGAATGGCTAGGCAGGCAGCTGAGAAGGGGGGAGGGGGGATGCGCTTGAGATATTGGGGCCGGCAGCGTCAGCCTAGGCCGCCGCCGCGCCGTCGGGGAGGTGTCTGGACTGGCGTCTGGAGACGCCCACGGCGTGTCGCGGCCCGGCCCCGCCCCGCTCGGCCGCACCAAGCCGGGCCCCCGGGAGAGAGGCCTGTCCGCCACACCCTGCTGCCGCGTGCTGCTGCCGAACCTGGCGCCTCGTTATGAAAAGCAGCGCTGAATTTGTCGTACATTTGCGATGAAAGTTGAAACAAAAACGTGTTGTTGTTCTCTCGAAATTCGTAAAGTCGAGGCTATTTTTTCGAGTGCCCCCTCCGGCTTATTTGGTTTGGATTCTGATGACGGGACGCTTGTCCTGCCGGCTCCGCGTTGGCTGCGCGCTCCGCCGGCTCAATCAGGCGCCGATTCAAAAGGGGGGCCGCGGCGCATGATGGCGCAGTCGGCGAGAGGCGGCAGGAAATATGGAAAAGGGGGACGCCACGCGCCGCCACCGCCTTCTGTTCGGCGTATTAGTCGCACACGCGCACACCGCGACACCGCGACACCGCCCGCGCTGCTTCGCCACTTCGGCCCGTGCCGCGGCCCGCGCGGGTCACGGAGAGGCGGTGCACGGTGGGCCAGAAGACCGCTGCAGGCGGTCAAAATCCCAGACGCGTTTTTTTTAGCTCCAGGTCGCTTATCAGGCCTCGAATCGAACGTCTGACCCCACCAATGGATTGCTCTCCGAACGAGGAATCCGTTGGTGGGGTCACACGCTTGATTCGAGTCCTGTTTAGCGACTCTGGTGATAAAAACGCGTCTATAGTCTTGGCCGCCTGCGCCGGTGAGGGAGAGAGACTGCTCTCGGTCCCGCTCCACGCGCAGCGGAGAGGAGCATGAATCTCTGGCGAGATAAACGCGGCGAAAAGTTGGCAGACGGACGGCCTTAATTAAACGGGACAAGTGGCCGCTGCAGCGCCGCGACGACCAAGACGCACCGCCCGCCAAAGCGCGCCAAAGCGCTCGCAAAAACGAGTTTTGAAGCCGAGCTCATTTCCAGGAGTGGTGCTGAATGTGTTTTGCCAGTGATGTCTCGCGCGGCGAAAGGTTTTTCGTGCAGGTGCCGATTTTTCAGGCACATTGCCAAGGCTGATTGACGAGGGTGCCTTGCGTCGTTTTGCCGCGTTTTTCTGGTTGTCTCGGTCGCTGGCGCATGGCAGTGAGTGGGCGCACGGGTATGCCAATGGCAGCATGGGTGGAGACGCCCCGGCCAGGCCAGCCCAGCCCCGTGGGGAAAGGTCGCGCCCTTTAACCTCCCCTTGCATCGCCCGGAGCAGTGGCGCCCCGCCCCGCCCCGCGGGCTGGCTGCCAGCGCGGTCTGCGGCGCACCCCGACGGGCCGCGCGCTGCCCCTGCTAACAGCACCGCGTCGTAGAGATAGCGGCGCCGTCATCAGCCGGCCAATGACGGCCGAGTCCCTCGTGCCTCTGTGTGTGCTCGGGCCAGGACAGGCCAAGCCAAGCCGAGCGCCCTTGAACCTGAATCTGAATAGCATGCTCAAGCCTCGGCGCCAGAATGCCCACTTGCCCAGTTTCCGGGGGCCAGTTGATTATAATCTGTATATAGGGGTCGTCCCCCCCACCACAGTGCTCCCACATGGCGTGTGTGTGTGTGAATGTGCTGCCTATGTGCGTGCGTGCGTGTTGGTGCTAAGTAGCGTTATCGCCGTCCTCTCTGCGAACCGCGGCGCACGTGTGTATGTGTGTGTGAGGGAGGGAGACGCATGTGAGCGTGGGGGCGCCAAGCGCGCCAGGCCCCCTGCGGCCCCCCGTGGACCCCTGCTTTCTTTTCTTGGCTTTGATGTCGAGCAGCAGCAGGCTCCTGCCCGGCAGGCTCCAGCAAGCAGGGTCCGTGGTCCCTGGTCCGCCCGCCGGGGCGCGGGGCCGCCGCCAAAGACGGTCCAGACAGAGCGCGGAAAGAAAAGGAAAAATAAACGGAGCTGGTGGACGGAGAGCGCCGTGGAGGTAGGCAGCCCTCCCGCGTCCGTGCGTCCCCGCAGCCGCGTGGCCTACCCGGCAGGCGCTCGGCCTCGTGGGCGCAGCGCAGCGCCGCCGCCACCTCACGCCTCCCACTGGAAAAAATCGAATGAAGTTACAAATTGAAAAGATTGCACGCTTTGGACCTCACGCCGCGCCACCCACTCCTCTCGGACTCGGCGTCCCAGCCCCAGCAGTGCCCCGCACCGGCCAGGCGCACGCTCTCCAACCCCCTAAAAACGCCATTCCGGCCACCTTTGAAAGTGAAACAAGCTCACGTGCGCCAAGAAGTGGGAGTTCGTGACCCCATTCCCCATTCGCACCGCCCGCCTCTCTTTCTCGCTCCGGCCGGAATGTGCGCGCTCACTCTCACTGTCACGCACGCGCACACGCCTTAATCATTTTCTACTTCATTTCGGGCGGCACGTCGGACGGCGCGTCGGGTGGCGCCAGGCCCGCCAGGCCGCCAGGCCGGGGCCGCGCATGTGGCGTCTTTTATTGATGACCCCCCAGCAGAGCGGCCGGGCAGGGCAGGGCAGGGCCTCGGCAAATGTCGGGGAAGAAATTAACGACGTGGTCGCCGGGATGGGCCCAGCACCTTGACAGACGCCTCACGCGCCCACTCCGGCCCACTGCCACACTGCCACCCACGCACGCCGCGCTCTCTCTCTCCACTCGCCCCTATGCTGCCCCTGCCCCTCTCTCAGAACCGCTCTGATTTCTTCATTGCGTCTGGGCCGGCCAGTCTTTGGTCTGGCCGCCGCGGCCGAGTAAATCGGACTGCCGCGCGGCACGCGATAGAAGCCGCTGTCCCGCTGCTTTTTCCGTTTTCCCGTCCGTGTCCGGCGGTGATTTTCGCCGGCCGCGCCGAGTTCTCCGAATGACTCGCATCGCGGCTTGGCTCGTGTGTGTGTGTGTGTGTAGGTGTGTGTGTGTGTGTGTGTGTGTGTGTATGTGTGTGAGTGTGTGTGTGTGTGTGTGTGTGTGTGTGTGCCGGTTTCCTTTCCCGGCTCGGAGGGGGCAGCCCAGATTGTGTGGGACCACTGGGGCGGTGGTCGCGGTGGCGGTCGGGAGGACGACGCCGACGACGACGCCGACGCTCTGAAAGAGGGCCGGAAAGGCTGGCAGGAGCGGTCGGCGGCAAATTACCTCCGGTGTAGTTATTGTCATTTTTCCCCTCCCCGTATCTCGCAGCATCCTGCGATGTTCCCGCCGCCTTCGCCGCCCCGAGAGACGCGAGGACGGCCTCGCTCCATTATCCGCGGCTCCGCGGCCGGATTCCCCGAAAGGATTCCCCGAAAGGATTCCCCGAAGGGTGCTCGCGGAGACGCCGCCCGAAGTTGGTGTTGCTGAGCTTCTTCTCCTTCGATGGACCGCTCCGCCCTCCTCCATCACGTCCCGCCGAGGGTGGAAGCGAACGCTCCGCGGCGACGTTCGACTCAGGAGTCATTGGCACCGTCCCGTCTGGCTTCTGCTTTCTTATTTCCGGATGCAGAAGCCCGCGGGGCCGGCGGCAATGCCGTCCGCAGCCCCTCCCGTTTGCTATTCACCTGTCGTGGAGTCAGTTTCCCAGTTTATGAAAACTCTCGCCGATAATTGGTTTACCGCGTCGAAAGCTGGGGGGGGGGAGGCCCCCTCCTGCGCGGGTACGACGCCGGGGGTATGAATATTAAGCAGCCCCAGCAGTGCCTGGCAATGAAAAGATTGTGCAAGGCTAGCCCTGTCCTGCAGGCTATAATCGCTTATCTCGGCACTATTTTTCAGACGACGCGCCTCCTCGCTACCGTGGGCGTAGCAGCCAGGCACTGCCAGGCAGCCGCTGGGAAAGAAAATGGGCTGCAATGGGCTGCGGCGAATCTGGGACGCTCATCACGCTTTCTTTTGCAGGGTGCACAGTGTGGTGCGTTTACCCGTAGCAACAGAAGGTCTTCCCCTGCCGACTGTTGGCCGCAAGTTCCGTGTGCGCGCGTGTGGGGAGGGGGGGGGGAGGCCCTCGATTACATTGCTTCGCGGAACTTACGCACCCAGCGCGGTATCAGGGCTTCGGGCGAACTTGGTTCGCAATGGGAGTCGCTCGCTGCCGCGTTGCCCTTGCCACACAGTGGGCCGGCAGGCCACGTCTCGGGTCTACGGTCCGCGAAGGAGGTTCGAGTCCGACGTCTTATGTGGCAGTTGTAGCGGCCTTGGCGCCTTGAAGGCAAACTCCTTTCCGCCTGTTTGTAGGCGACAAGTGCGACGAACGCCCGTCGCCAAGTTGGGGCTCCACTCCTCCTCGTCGGCAGCACACTGCACGTGCTGCCCGTAGTGCAGGGGCACGTGCCGGAGTCGATGGGGTGGATTCGTCTCTGCATAATGCACGGCACGCTTCCACCACCGCGACCTCCACGGCCTCCTCCAAGGCCAGCGGCGCCAGGGTCGTCCTGAGGCAAGCCGATGACCTGTCTGTGGTGGCCGAGTGGGCACGACGGTCTACCAAGCTCGCTTCGGCAGTCATTTAGGAAGGAATGGGGACACGATATCAGAGGGGGGGGGGAGCCCGGGTCGAGAAGTGACGCCGACGCCACCTAACACTGCATGAGCTGTGTGTGCGTGCGTGTGTGTGTGTTTGCGCAAACGGGCCAATTTGAGAGCAGGGATAAATCATCCCCTTGTTTGTTTGCCTTTGTCTGTGGCGTTGACTGCTGCCATATGACTCCCTCGTCCCCCCCTCTTCCCCCTCTCCCGCTGCCCAGGCCTTCCCTCCCTCCCCGGCAGACTCGCCTCAGCGTCGTCGGGCGTGGGATGGGAACGCAGAGCGCAGTGCTGCACGCGTTGGAGGTGTCGCCAGCTCCCCCCTGCCGGCAGGACTCCCCCCCCCCCTCCTCCAAAGCCCGCTCATCCTGACGGACGCCTTGTTTGCTGTTGCAGGAAGCTGGACGACGCCGTGCTGCTGGAGATGGGCATCACGCAGATGACGGAGTACGCGGACCCGTACAAGAAAAGGTGAGCCGAACCCGCCGCGAGGAACGGACTGGCGACGAGAAAAAAGAAGCGGCAGGTCGCGGCAAAATAATGAAGCTAGATTAAGCGAAAGGATGACAGATGTTGTTTTCCGGCGCTCGGTGTTACGAGCACTGTCCTTAATTCATCCGACCGTTCTGTTGTCCTAACTCTGGCCGTCTGCCTCTTCACATTCCTCGAAGCCATTTTCCTTGTTTGAAATTCTGTCTGACCGCGACAACCTTGTCGTTCATCCTCCCTCTGGGTTGCAGGCCGATGACCATGGGCGAGATCGGCTGCTTCATGAGCCACTTCAACATCTGGACCGAGGTAACGCACTTGCGCCTAATTAGCCACCGCTTGTTCATGACTCTCTCTCTCTCCCTCCACGGTGACTCCTGCTCTGATTCAACCCGCTGCTCGTGTGTGTGTGTGGGTGTGTGTGTGTGGGTGTGGGTGTCGCTGGGTGGGTGTGAAAATGGGGTGAGGGGGTTGTTTCACTGTTTCGCACTCCGCCATGAAAATTCCTCTAGGTCCGCCATGGCAAAACAATGTCATCCCCAACAATGGGCCGCTTCCTGCGTTACACACTGGTCCCTGCTTTGCTGTGCAGCCTCCCCCCCCCTTCCCCCCTTCCGCTTCTTTCGTTATCGCAATGAAAGTGTGTGTCGCGGGGCGCTGGCGGCGGTGAGGGAGTGGAGTGGGGGTGTTCTGAAGAAAGTGCGTGGTGGAAAGGGGGGGGGGCTGACCCACCCGCCAGCAGCGCGCAATAATTGTAAAGGGGGATGTGAAGCGCCTCCCCCCCCCTTTTCCCCCTCCCCCGCCGCGGCACGTCGTCATGAAATGTAGCGCGCGGCTCAAGGATGCGCGGCCCGGGTGGGCACCGGTAAAGCAGCGCCCAGGAAAAGGGCGATTAAAAAGCGGTCGCCTGGTGTCGGCGCGGCGGCCCGTCTTGCCGAGGTCGTCGGGGAGGCGCAGCGAGCAGCAGAGTGGCGGCAGCAGCGGCCCTGCGGCCCTCGCCCTGCCTCTCCCCACGCAGGGCGAGGACAGCCAGCGGCGCAGCGACACGCAGCGAGGGGAGGGGAAAAAAAGAACATTCGTCGGCGGCATTGTTGCCCTCGTCCTTTTTGGAGGAGACGGGGAGCACGGCGGCGCCTCTCCCTTGCCCTCCCCGTCCCGGTGCCCCCGGCGAGGCCGTCGCCGTGCCGCGGGCGGTGCTTCAGGTGCGTGTCGCGGGGCGGGGCGGGGCTCCAGGAGGGCGATGTCCTCATTTGCAGCGCGTCCAAAAAATTACCGCGCCGGGGAAAACACTTTGGCGGCCTGTCCTGCCCTTTTTGCTCGACGTGGGGTTGGGCAGGCATTCCGTGGCTTGGAGGGCGAGGGGCGAACTCTCGAACGCGTGGCGGGGAGGGGGTGGCGCGTGCAGCGATGACGAACCGGCCGAATGGCGGGACGGGGATGGAGGAGAAACCACGTGCTGTGCGCTGCAGGAGGGGAAAGACGGGATGAAAAACGCTTTTGCACCCCCGCCTGCATTCCGAGTGTGTGTGCGTGAGAGAGAGAGAGAGAGAGAGAGAGAGAGAGAGAGAGAGAGAGAGAGAGCCGCCAAAGGCGCCTCGCCTCGCCGGCCTCGCCGGCCCCGCCCCGGACCACTTTTGGCGCGTTTCCGTGCAGAGGCACGCGTCGCTGCGCTCTGCTTGGAACACAAACTGCAGCAGGTCGGCCGGGCCGCGTGAATCTGTATTAGTGTCTCGTCGGGCGAGAGCGAGGACATGTGTGTGTGTTGGGGGCGGGGGTCCTCGCGCGACCTGCGGAGCAAAAAAAAAATGACGTCCCACTTCTTGCCGGGAAGAATAGATTGGTCCACGCGGGTCGCACAGCAGCTGCTGCCAACTGCCGAGGCTGCCCGGGCTGCCCAGGCGGGTCAAGAGGGCTGACCGTCTTGCGTCTCATCGATTCTGGCGCTCTGTCAAGACTGTTTGGAACTCGGCTCTGGCTAGACGCACTCGACCCACTGTCTCGCCGTCTATCTCTCTCGCACTCCCTCCTCTTTTTCCTTTTTTTTTCTCCCCGGGCCGTTAGTTCAGTTTGCAGGCCGAGATGGGATCGAATCGCTCGTAGGTTGTCTTTGAGGCGACCTCCAAGGGCCTCGCCAGGCAGGGCGACGCGTTGGTGACCTTTTCCCGGCATATTTACCGCGCGGTTCCCCGGGTAATCACTGCGCGGGCCGTAATCACCCCGTTCCCCCTCCTCCTCCCCCTCCCCCTCCAGACCGCCAATGGCTTCCGCCTTCAGTATTAGCGGCAGGGGCGCGGCGCCTACAACTTTACCGCTCTCTAAAAATATTCAACACCTCTTTCACTCTTCGGGTTATTATTCCACGACGGCGGGGGATCGCGACCCGCTGCAGCAGCGGGAATAAATTTGAGAGGAAAGTGGTTCTTGGGGGCGGCCTGGGGGGCGGCAAGGGGGCTGGCCAGAGGGGGGGGGGGGTGGAGGCTGCTTCGGCGTCGCTGCAGATGAATGTGGAGAGTAAAGTGCGAAACTGAGACGAGCCAATTGAAAGTGCGCTGTGCGTGCATGTGTAGTACGTGTGGCGCGCGTCCTCGGAGCTCCACCCACACGCTCTCCGAATCTCTGGAGTTCGCTCTGGCCACTCTCACAGTGTAACTCCGAGTCGGTGGGCTCCGTAAGTAAGTTTGTGTCCATGCTAGTTAGCCGAGTTTGCACACCAGCACGCAGTCCGAGACGCATTCCCCCGCCCAGCCTGGCCCAGCCTGGCCGTCGCGGCGCCTCACAGGCCGTCCTGGCAGACCCTGGCAAACCCTGGCTGACGACACGACGCCCGCCAGAAGGTCGCAGTCTTAACAAGCTGCCGGGGCACGCGCCGGCACCCTCGCATTTACATGCCCCGCGGGGAGAGAGGTTCAATTACCACAACGTCCTCCTATATGGCGTGTGTACTCAACTTATCTTGGCGTGCCGGTTATGTTTTTGTGAGTGAAAAAAAAGGAGTTCTGTTTGAGTTTCGTTTCTTTGTAACCGTTTTGCGCTGGCGGTTCCCTGCATGTCTTGACCGCTGGACGCACCCCCCCCTCCCCCTCCCCCTCCCCCTCTTTCCTGTTCCGTGTGTGCCGTCGCAGGACTGGTACGTACTGGACGCCGTGAAATATTAGCCAATTTTCCGCAGTTTGTGCTGCTCCGTTTTTATGGCGGGAGCACCCCTCCGTGGCCCCTCGACTCGGGTGCACACAGACGCGCGCACACAGACACGCGCACACACACACTTTGACGCACACGCGCGCGCCGGGCGCCCTGCTTGTGCTGCCCTGTGATTGTGATTGCATGGCTGCAGATGCAGGCCGCCTGCCCACACCAACACATCCATCCGTCCCCCGCAGGCCCCGACAGCATTCTACCGTAATCCTGCCGGACTGCGCCGAGGGCTGCGCCCCTGGCTGAGACCCGGGAGGGCTGATTTCGGTATTTAGGTCGCTCCTCCCCCCGAAGCAGTGTCCGGACGGCGAGGACAGACCAGGACAGACCGACGGACAGTGGCGGCCTGTCTTGCAGTAGTGATGGCGCTGGCTGGGCCTTTATCCTGGAGTACAGTGGGGGCGCTCCGCCGCTCCCCGTTCGGTAACTGGCGACGCAGCTGCGACCCATTCTCACTACTGCACACCGTTTCTCAAGTGAAACGTGAAGCTGCCGGCCCTCGGCCTGGCCGGGCCCGGCCCCTGGTCCGGGCCGCCCTGCCCGTCCTGGCTGCCCTGCCCCCCGCCGCGCCTCGCTGCGTCCTCGCCGCGTCCCCCGAGGCCCCGCAGAGGGCCCCGCCGAGGGCCCCGCCCACCCTGTCGACCCCCTGCAGGCGAAAGATTTACCGCCCGACTTGCTCAAAGTATTTGACTTCCACCTGCACGACGGCGGCGGGGTGCGGCCCGGCGGCGCGGCCCCCTCGCGTTGTCACCCCGAGCGCGCCTCGACGCCGCACCACGACTCTTTTAATTTCCCCTCCTGTTGGAAGCTTTTTCACGTGCCTGACTCAACTTGTGGCTCCCCCTGCAGGTGGCGCAGAACCGCATGGCCGCCGTCCTGGTGCTGGAGGACGACATCCGCTTCGAGCCCTTCTTCCGCAAGAAGCTGTACGGCGTCATGGACGAGCTGCGGGACATGCGGCTGCAGTGGGACCTGGTGTAAGTTTCTCTCTGTCTCTCTCGCCTTCCTGGCCGGGCTGCCCGCTGACCGCGCCTTTCGCCTTGTGCAGGTACTTGGGCCGCAAGCGCCTGGAGAAGGAGGAGCCGTGGGTGCCGGACGCCAAGCACCTGGTGCGGCCCGGCTACTCGTACTGGACGCTGGGCTACATGCTGTCCTTCCCCGGCGCGCGCAAGCTGCTGGACGCGCGGCCTCTGGACAACCTGGTGCCCGTCGACGAGTACCTGCCCATCCTCTTCGACCGCCACCCCGAGTAAGCCCTGCCCCAATGCTTTGAACTCTTTTGTTTTAAATTTATCTTTGTTTTGATTGGGTTGTTTTTCGCGGTGTGTGTTCCAGAGAGTCGTGGAAGGAGCGCTTCCCCAAGCGCGACCTGGTGGCCTACTCGGCCGCGCCGCTGCTGCTGTTCCCCACGCACTACACTGGCGACAAGGGCTACGTCAGCGACACGGAGAACTCGGAGGTGATCCCGGAACCGCTGCGGGGGTCGCGCCCGCCCGTCGCCGACCAGCACAGCCGCCAGCACCGCCAGGGCCGCGTCGAGCTGTAGGCCCCGCCACCCCACCGCCACCCCACCGCCACCACGGCCTGCGAGGCCAGCCGGTGGAGGAGTGAGGGTTGGCGTCAGGGTACACTGTGCCAACGGACACTGAGGTTTCCCCACCTTTTGTGTTTTAAAAACCAAGTCTGTTCAAATTTTACCTGATGGGCTTTCCTGATATTTTATTGATTTTTTTTTACGCCATGGTATTTTTATCCTATTTTATTTTTATCCCTATTATTTAAGTTTTGTATCTTTTATTACTCATAACAATCCATCTGTGTAAGTTCATATGTCTATGAAATGACGTTCGTGAGCAAATGCCCTGTTGTCTCAGCACGTGCTTGGGCTAATTTAATTACTGACCCGTACTATATGTGCCATTTTGACGAATTTAAAATGTAATGTACGGTTTAAGAAAATTTTAAGATGGTTTGTGGCTGGTGGAGTTTCAGGTTGTAAGATGAAGTGCCAAAGATGATCACAATGTGCCATGTTTTGAACTCTCATAGTGCCTTTTCTTTGCCAAAAGTGTATGCCAAATATTTTGTCTTATTTCTTTGTGCATTCATGATATATTGAATGTATGGACGAAATATGCACAAATAACTGAATGCGTTCTTATTGTATTAGGGTTGTACTTAAGCAATCATCTTTTGATGGAGTATGTTATTGGTATGATTGTCATTCCAGTACTTACAATCATGTTTTGTACATTGTGGAAACTGATGCGGTTCAAATAAGACCACTTTTTTAATTGTGATTTTGTTCAGTAACATTTTTGTTACACAAATGTATACTAACACAGAGCTCTCTTTTTAAAATCTTTTTTACAACGGTATACAATGTATTTCAAATGTATTTTCACATCCTAATAAAATGTTGAAAATGGAAATGCCATAATTGAGTGTCTTTTTTTAATAAGGCCTTGGAACTTCGGCCAAATCCTCTCCCCTGCAGTCTCTGCAGCGCGCCATGTCGCAGCAGCAAACAGAACAAGCGGCCAAGCGGCTAACTCAATTACCATGGAAACTCGCCTGGTTTGGAGGCCGGCTCAGGGCCCTGCGCCCTGCGTGCGTCGCCGTGCGCTTGCAGTGTAGGCCTAGTGCCTTCACGACGAACAATCACTTGCGGATGCTCGCTAGCCAAACATGCAGAAATTTCATGTAAATACCAGTGTCAAGAATACTCCTACTTCGCTCTGGAACTTTCGATCCGATATACACCTACACTAGGCTCCAGTTCGACGAAACGTGGCAGAAAAGCTTGTGGCGACGTGAAGCGAGGCCAGCCACCACGCCATGCCCCCTGCCAGTAGGCAGCCCATCGGGCAGCCGCGCCGCTTGGGAGGCCACCTCGCGTGCCGCGCGGGGCGACGCCGCGACGCCGCGTGGAGCGCTAGCAGCGCAGCGGCGTCTCGCCGTGGTTCACGGCGGCCGCAGCATCGAGTAGTTACTTCATTTCTGAGTGATCAAAGACACGCTACCTGCCTATTTCAGTTAGGTGAGAGGAGTGTCTGCGACGTGGCCTCCGAGCCGCCGCACTGCGCGCTGCAAGCAGCTGCAAGCAGATTACTTCTTCGCCCCGGATGCTGCTCCCGCCAAAGTAGTGCAATTTCCTCGACCTTTGCCGCTGCCGCCACGCCCCGCGCCCCAGTCGCTCGGTGCTTCCAGGCCTTCCAGGCCGCGCCGCTGCAGCCCGCCTGTCACCCCGCGGCACAGCCAAGCACCTACAGTGGACTAGCGACGAGAAAGCCGCGGCCGTAACGCGCCCATTTAGGCCTTTAATGCGGTGACGTCATCCCTGACAGCGTAGCGGCGCGGGCAGCACCGCGGCAGTCTGCTGCAGGCCAAGTACATCATGGAGGCCGAGTCGGCCGAGCGCAGCGCGCTGTTGCGACAGTTTACTGCGCGATCGACCCTTAAACTTTCACTGACCGTTCGGACGGTTCGGACCGTGGCGCCGTGGCACGGGTAGGACTCCCTGGCCGCCGGGCCGCCGCCGCCTCGGTGCAGGCCGTCCCGCAGGCCGTCCTACATGCTTGCATCGCGGTCCCGACCCTCCCGCAGCGTCCGGGGCGGGTGAGAAATGAAGCCCTGGCCGCACAGTGACCCCCTCGGCCCATCCGTCTGTCTGTCCGTCCGTCCGTCCGTGTAATCTCCCCGCGGCAGAGCGGGGGCGGGGTGCGGGGCGTGGGAGCTGGTGCCGGTGCGGCCCGCCCCGGCCCGCCTTTACCCCTTTACACCTCGGACACGTCCTCGGCCTCCGCCTCGCCGGTCTTTCCAGCCCAACGCGCGGCGCCCGGCGGCGCCTCTTACCCCAATAGGTTTGCCTCCTCCCCGCGGGCGGCACACACATGCACGCACACAGGCACACTAGCGCGCAAATTCGCACACAGCACACCCGAGAGGCCTGCCAGAGCCAAGTCAGGGCATAAATAACAGTGTGAGCGAGAGGCGACCGCCCCGAGCGTCCCGAGGTCAGGGTGCCACCGAGACCAAGGCCGTCGCCAGGGCATCGTCCTCGCGGGTGAGCAAACGCAGAGCGGGCGTGGTGGTCAAATTTTAATCAAAGTTTTGCAATTGAACGATATTGAGGCACAATGAGAAAGATGCCCGCCGCTTACGTGTCGCAGGCTGCGGCCCAGGTGCGGGAAAATGGAGATTATTGCTGGCCGTTCCCCGGCGGGGTCTCGGCCGCAGTGTCTTGATGGCGGGGCGGGGCGGGGCGGGGCGGGGCGGGGCGGGGCGGGGCGGGGCGGGGCGGGGCGGGCGGGGCGGGGCGGGGCGGCACCTTCTGGATGGGGATTTATCGCGGGCGCATTAACACGAGCAGCCCGCAAGAACGCCACCGAGACGGAGCACAGCATGGCAAGCACGGCCTGCCGCGGAGGACACTTGTCGGGGGCGGGCGCGCCTTGAGAGGGTTGCTAAGCTGCCGCCGCTCCGCGACGACCGACCCGACAAGACGGCGATATTAATTCTGGGAGTAACGTGTCTGCTGTTGTGGCTCACGGCCTCGGCGCGGTGCTCCAGGCGCGGTGCTCCAGGCCCGCGGGCCGTCCCCGGCGAACGAGGTCTAGGCCGCCTCGCCACCCACCAGGCCCTCCGTGCCGGACCTACCCCACCCCCGGCCCAGCCACCCCGCGCGCCACCCCCTCCGGGACGCTGGGCGCCCCACGCCACCCCAGGGCCCACGGCGCGGTGGAGTGTACAGTGTACATCACAGGGCGTCCAAAGTTAAATGCCTGCCGCTCCCGGCCGCTCGCTCGCGGCAATTTCCGCCCCGGTGACGTGGATGAAGACGCGGATGATGGCGGCAGGGCGGCGCGGTCAGCGCGTCGCTCTCCCGGCAGCAGCAGGGCTCGGCCTGGGACTCGGCCTGGGACTCGGCCTGGGACTCGGCCTGGGACTCGGCCTGGGACTCGGCCTGGGACGACATGACTGCCGAGCGGTACAACTTTGTTGTCAGGCTGCGCGGCGTTGTGTGCAGAGCGAGGGCCGGGCGTGGGGCAGTAAAGTCCCCGGTCTCCCTCGCCAAAACAATTTAAAGTGACTACCCCGCACTCGGGCGCGCCCTGCGCCCCGTGGCCCCGCGGCCCCGTGGCCCGTCGTCCGCGGACCGGGACAAATAATTAAGGGGGAAAGTTTGGGCTCTCCGATACAGAGTGGCCTGATATGCCGGCCCCGCGCGGAGTTCCCGGCGCACGCCGTACTCGCTGCACCACTACATGGACGCGGAGGGCGTGGCGCGCGGCCCGCGTGAGTTGTGGGAACACCATGGGGGCTTCCCTGCGCGCGGCGCGGCCCGGCCCGGCCGGCAGCGGCGCGTCAGGAACTGGAGCAGAAACACGGCCGATGTGATCTGCACTCCGCAGCCACGCCGCTGAGGCACGGCGCCGACGTGTTGCTCTCGGTGCCAACGCCAACGCCGGGCTGCGTTGGCCCAAAGGGCGCGGCCGGGTGCGCGGCCTGCACTCTGTCTCTCTCGCACTCATGGGGCGCCCCGTGTGTGCGAGAGAGACGGAGCGACAAAAGGCCCCCCGTCCCGGCAGCGCGTCGCGATAAACCGTACGTGTCGCGCCTCGCCAGCGCTGCTGCCAGTGTGCCAGGCCAGCGCGCCAACTTCCTGCTGCTTTCATAAAGAAACAACGGGCGGCTACCCGGCCGCTCGGCGCTCCGCTCCGCGCCATCGCCATCGCGGGTTGCGGCTTTAGAAAGATCCGCCAGCGCGGCGCCGCGATTGTTCCAGCCATTGGACCGCTGCAGCGCTGCCGAGCCGAGCCGCGCCGGGCACGTCCAGCGGGCTTCCAGGCCCTCCAGGCCCTTCCGCTACCGCCTGCCGGAGGGCGCCGACGACGGCGCACCGGGAGCGGAGCCTCGCCGCCGTGGCGCGCCACGCCCGGATCCCCGGATCCGCTTCACGCTGATTGATCGGGCCGGGTGAGAGTCGAACCCGTAACCTCCCGCGGCCCCGTCCTTCGGGTCCGTCCCGGTGGGTCCTGCAGGGTCCTGTTGGGTCGGAAGGACGGCGTCCCGTGAACAGCTGGGCCGTTCGGGTCGGGCGCTGCCACCGTGAAGACCTGGGCCAGGCCAGAGGCTTCGACTTTCAAATTCCAGCAGCGCAGAGCGAGCAGAGCGCCCGTCAGGCCTGCGGTAGGCAGCGCGACGACGCGCTGGTGCGGCGGGCTGCCTACCCGAAGCTGCGGCAGGCGCTCTGCTCGACTCTGACCGCTTGTTTACGTCTGGGCCGCGGGCCGCCGCGGGCCGCCCCGGGCCACTGCCCCCTTTCCCCAGATGCCGGCGAGTCAAGCCCGGTTTATGCAGGCCCGCCTTACTTTCTTTGCCTCCCCCACCTCCCCCACCTCCCTCATCGTCACCGACCCCGCCGCCCCGCCGTCCCCGCCGGGGGCCGTGCTCCAGCGTGCGAGTCTCCGGCTCTCCGGCGGCGACGCCCGGCCGCGGCGCGGTGCTGCGCGCTGCCACGGACGGCGAACGCCCCCTCCACTTGCCTCTCCAGCCGAGGCGAGCCGAGGCTCCAGCCAGGCTCCAGCGCCCTGCTGCTGGAGTTGCTTGCTGGAGTCAGCCGAAGGGCCGAAGCGAGCACCGAGCTGCCCGAACGCTGTAGAACGCTGTTGCCGGAGCTGTCCGGAGCACGGCCGAAAGCGGTACTAGCCAGCGTACCTACCTCTAGGTCCACGCCGCGGGGTTCTCCGGTCCGCCCCGCCCCCCCCGCCACGCCCCGCCGCGCTCCACGCCGGCCCCTCGGAGGCCCCCTTCCAGCGGCCCATCCAAGCGGCCAGCCAGCAGTGCCGCGGCACTCCGATGCCAGTCACCTCCGACTCCCGGTGCCCCTCGGTCGTACCGCGCCGTGCCGCGTGCCGCGCCGCCGCGTCGTCGTGAGTGAAGGCTTCCCGCCGACGCTGTCGTCACAAACGCTCACCGGAATACTTAACGCCCCTCACGCGCGCGAGTGTGTCTGCCAGTGTGAGTGTCAGTGCGTGTGTGTGTGTGGGTGTGAGCGTGCCTTGTGGTGTCGTCATTGCCGCAGTGACAGGTGTGTCCTGCTGTGCGTAACATGGTGTGACGCCGCCTGTCACACCGTGACGATGTGACCGAGTGACACGACCAGTGTATTGGATTACCGCCGCTTTGCTCTTTCGGATTACGATCAAGTGGTGTCTCCGCGCCTACGGGAGACTTGTTTTTGGTGAGTCTCCTTCTTTTATTTCCCTTACAGACATTAAAGAAGCACAAGTTGCAGACAAGAAATATGGGTAGACCGCCTGTGTCCGAGCATAAAACAAGCATTTCACCGTCGGTGTGAATTTTTTCGCTGGGTGTTAAGTTACGAGTTGACCTTTCCGCTGCTGGCTGATACAAAACCGCGGCCGTCCGGCTGAATTTCAAAGCGTGCATTGCCTGGCATTGCCTGGCATTGCCTGGCATTCCCTGTTTGCCGGCCGCGGGGACTGCTTTCACGGCGCGGTGCCGCGGCGGCCGCGAGGTGGGACCTTTACGACGAGCCCTGTCCCTGATTCACTGCCTCGCGAGTCCACATCGACGGCGGGCCGGCGGGTCAGCGCCTTAACGAGAGGCGCCTTTTGAAAGCGACTGTACGTCGTAAACGGCGGGATTCACAAGCGTGGCGCGTGGCGCGGAGAGGACTTCACTTTTGTCTCCGACCGTCACGGCGCTTCCGGACAGTGGACCCACGGTCCTCCAATCGTGGGACTCGATTTTGATTCATCCTCGTCCGCGGCTTGCGGCTCTCTGCTCGCGCCGGATGACTCAGTGGTCGAGGTGGCCGCCGCCGAGGCGCCTAGGAACGACCACGACGCCGGCGACGCCCCGCCGGTCCCGGATTTGGATTTTGGATGCGGGCCTAGATCAGAACGACGCCAACATCGTTCCCGTCGAAACGACGTCCGGTTCCAGCCGCGGCCAGCACCGCGGCCAGCACAGCCCCGCCTCTTGCCGGGCCGCTGTCGGCTGAACTTGACCGGGCTTGACTCTGGAGTCTGCGGGCGAGGTGCACACACACACACACACTCAGGAGCTGGCGAGCAGGTCCTAGTCCCGCCCAGCTCGCCGCGGAGGTCAAGATCGACCTCCGCTCGGATGAATGGCTGCGCCGTGCCTCCAGTGTCGCTGTCTCCGACACCATTACCCCGCGCTGCGTCACTGCTGCGATCGGACTGCCGTCAACGTCGCACACTGAAACATATTCCAGTAAAAAAAGAGGAGCGGGGGGCGGGGGGTTTTGAACCCGCAGAGCGCAGTTCACAGGCAACAACTCTATCCCCTCGGCTACGCCCATTACCATGCTGTCGGCGGCTGCACTGTGCGGCCATTGTGGCTGTGGGACTCGCTTGACATGCGGAGCACTTTTTTCCTTTTCTTCTTTTTCTTCCGCGCTGTTGGCAGTCGTTGGCTCGGTGCCGCGCCGTAATTTGAATCAATTGCATTTGCCGCGAATAGAGCCGGCCGCTCTTAATTGCGGCTTATCGGGGCAGTTTTTGTTGCTGCCGCTCGCTAGTTGTTGTTGTTGTTGTTGCTGCCGTATGGACGTGTGTGGTCTGCCGGGCTAATCCCATCAGCGGTGGAAAAAGGGCACTCGGTCCGAAATGGCTCGCAGCGACCGCTCTCCACGGATTTTTTTGTGTGTTTCAAATGAAAACAGTACCGCCCCGCGGAGTTGTTGCTTTTTTTTTGCCCGCGTGTGTTTGTGGAGACGCTGAGTATGGAAGTGAGACAATTAAGTCACCGTGAAAGCAGCGCGGCGCGCGGTATACAATTCCACGGTGCTGCAGCGGCCTGGCTCGCCACCGTGTACACCGAGATGGCCGACTGCTCCAAGTCCGGCAGCGACCGCGGTCCGCGCCGCTGCGGCGCCCAGGGGATTTAGAAACAGAAAAACTCTCAGGTACTGAGTGTGGTGCTGCGCCGGCTGACTGACGGGCAGGCCGCGGCGACGATTGGGCACTTCTTGGCCGGCATTAGCAAACGAAATTACGGCGGCCCGGCTAGTCGCGGTGCCTGGCGGCCCTGCGCGTCAAACAGCGAGCAGCGCGGCCAGCTTGATGACCCTCTCCGAATCCGCGAGCCCCGTTCAACTAAGCGACGCCGATTACAGGGAGGTGGCGGCGGCGGCGGTGCCGCGCGAGAAATGTCACAGCAGTTCAACTCTTTTTTATCTCTTCCCTCTTTTTGCATTCCCGGCGCGGCAAACAGCGGCAGCGCCGCCATGTCGTCGCGGCGGCAACCGCGGCGGCAACGCACTGCTGGATCGGCTCGGCGTTGCGCGGCCTGTCTCTGTCTCCCTCGCACTCACGGGGCGTCCTGGAGGCCTGCAGGGGTGCGAGAGAGACAGAGCGACGCGAGTTACGCCCCGCGACGGCGGTGTGCTGCACGCGCGGCGAATCGGCCGAGGGGCGGACGGACGTCGACGAGGACGTGCCGCGCTCCCGTTAGCCGACGTCATGTCACCGCCGCGCCGAGCACCGCGACGAGCAGCCAGTTCGCAGTGACGCGTCCCCACGTCACCGGCGGCACGACACGACGCGGACACGCGGTACCCGCACCGGAAAAGGCTCGCCAAAAACGCTTCCGAGGAAACTGCGGGCGCGAGCGCACAGAACACGGACTGCGGCGTCAAGCTGGCCAGCTGGCCCGTCTGTCGGCCCGTCCGTCCGTCCGTCCGCCGCGCATGTGCCCGCCACGCCACGCCGGCCACGTTTGCGGTGGGGCCGGCGGGTGTCGAACCCGCACCTCGGCGCGACCACAACAGCCATCAACGGATCGGAACTGTAGCAGTGTCCGGGGGAGGGGGGCTTGGCGAGGAAGTGGCGTACGGCGGCGGCCTCCAGGTTTGGCCTGCAGCATTCCGCGGCGTGCCTCCAGGCGGTGCCTCGCCGCCTCGTCACCGGGAGCACCTCGCGGGGCTTAGCAAGGAGGCGGCGACGCGGCCGGGTCGTCGGGGAGGTTACCCGTCTCGCTGTTCCCCTGAAACCAACGGGGAAAAAGACGGACGACCCGCCATGCACCAACGGCGATCTAAAAAAAATGGGGATTTACCGCGGGTGTTGTTGGGGACACGCGCACGCCCGTGCCCGCGCACGCCGCACTGCCGCCGCGCTGCCCCGCCGTGACCACGAATATTCATCGCGTGTTGCTCCGCTCCGCGTGGCGCTGCGTGACACACACGCCACCGCGAGCGCGCGCATCGCAAGATCAATGCCGCCATCCGGGCGCTTCCATCAACATCATCAACAAAAACAACAACAAATAGAACCATTTCCATTTTAAATGCGTTCTTGTTTCGTGTTTGTCTCGGCAGTCACTCCAGTTTTCGTCCGTCTTTCGCTCCTCTCGAGGCGCGGCTCGCGTGGATTGTTTTCCCGAATGTATTCATGGGCGTTCCGACGATGCTGGTTTCCAGAGAGCTGCTAAGATGGCCGCCCGGTCACGGATCGGACATGGACACGATGGGGCCTTCGGGTGGGGCCGCGGCCTCGCCGAACGGAACGGCCGTTCAGAGTCCAGCACGCCGCCGTCGCGCGGTCGCTCTGTCTCTCTCGCACTCCCGCGGCGCCCCGTAGGGGTGCGAGAGAGACAGAGCGTCCGGAATGGGTCTGCAGGGGAACCGGTCCGCAAGCCCGTCGGCCTGCCTCTAGGCCTGCCTAGGCCTGCCCGTCCGTCCGATCGGCGCGCGGGTCGGCGGGTCGGCTGGTGGCGAGGGGGTAACGACTTCGGGAATCCGGCTGACAGCATATTGGGAGGTAATCCGGGGTAATCCGGGGTAATCCAGGATTATTTGGTTGTAATCCGGAGGTAATTTGGGGATAATCCGGGGTAATCCGGGGTAATCCGTAATCCGGCTGACACGAAATTTACCAGTCGTTACTCCCTCGGCTGGTGGACACGGCGGACGATCCTCCGGATCCTTCCCCAAGCGAGGCGGCGGCGCGGCGGCGCGTGTTCTCGCGGGAATGGACAAGCAGGACGCTCGGCCTGATTGGCTGACGAGGCTCGCCCGGCAGGCTGGATCACAAAACAGCCGACACCCCAAACTGGCCGACAAGATAGGCGAGGCTCGTTTTACAGAACAGCTGACACCCCAGAGACAAGCCACAAGTCTCAGCTAACTGAAAATCTAACGTCAACCTGGCGACGACGCTCTGGAGCCCGCCGCCACTCCGTCGTCCTGTCTCTCTCGCACTCGTGGGGCGTCTCGCTCGACAGACATGACGACGAAAAGGACTCTCGGAATCAGTCTGCAGCTCCGGCTTGACAAAATAGCTGACACTCTAGATGGCAGTTTATACCCGATACCCCCGGCCGGGTCACACCTGAGTGAATCTGGGCCCGCAAATGAGATGTGGTTAAGGGGTGGGGGTGCCTCATCGCGCGCCGCCCCGGCGCCTCGGTGCTGGCTCTCGTCCAGCATCCAGGTCCTGGCTCCGGGTCCTGGCAGTGCACACGCGTAGCGCCGCGTAGCACGTTAATTCGGCATTAAGGGACGAAGGACGCGGGCGAGGAGGGCCTCCCGGAACTGCCTAGGATGCTGCTCGGCTTGCTTGGCTTGCTCGGCTTCCTTGGCTGCTTGGCCGGAAACAACGCACACCAAACTGCGGCACCCCTTGCCGCCCCCGGCCGCCCCCAGCCGCCCCTTCCGCACGGGCCGCAGCCTGCGCAGCCTTGGCCTAATGATGGCTGGCTTTGCCGCGCTTAGCCTGCCCCCCCCCCTCCACCCCCACGCGGTGCGTCGCCTCGGCATAAGCGTCCCCGCAGGGCCGCAGGCTGATTCCGAACAGTGATTCCGTCGCTCGGTCTCTCTCGCACTCACACTGGGCGCCGCAAGAGAGAGAGAGAGAGAGAGAGAGAGAGAGAGAGAGAGAGAGAGAGAGAGAGAGAGAGAGAGAGAGAGAGAGAGAGAGAGCGACGCGGCGAAAACACTGTTCCTGGCGTCTCGTGGAGTGCTCCACTCAATCTCGGCGTGGTTAAGGGCGTCTTTTGTTGCTGTTGTAGGGCATTCCGGGCCGCCCTGCAGCCTGCCTGCAACACAACATCCCCTCCCCTCTGGCCATCTTTTGTCTCGCCACTGGCGTTTAGCGTTTAGCGCGCGCGGCCATTGATGCAGTGTCCGGCGCGCATTTCTTGCCTGACCTCCCTCTTTGTGCGGCACGACACTGTGTGCAGGCTCTGCAG